TCAGTTGTTTACGGTTCACAAACATACTAATGACCCGTCAAACATTTATTTATTGATCGATCTTAGTCATTGATCTTCGATTCCTGGTCATATTGACCGATTGGGGTGAGTAGAATGGGAATCAGTTGAATTCAAGAGAATTCAACCAATTGAAAGAAAGATGCCCGTGATCAACGCTCTACCGTTCTGTAAATTGGCTCTATTAATTTTATTATCTTTCACACACTGTGTGCCACAATAATCTTTATGAAAAAAAGAAAAACAAGTTCCATGATCTGTGTATGAGCACAGGTTGTCCAGGCCGAAACATGAATTTTCTCGGGAAATTCACAACTGAAGCCTCTGGCTAGCCAAAGCCTCTTCCGCATGGCAGCGAGGGTGGGGGTATAGTGTGAAAACCGCACGCCACTGGGGTCAGGTGTCTTTATCATCGGATCATGCGCCTTTTGGATGGGGTCAAACGTTCAGTCGGTCCGATACACTTCGATACCAAATCGAAGTGGTGACCACTACCCAAACCAGTAAAGTGTAGCTATGTGGTTATTACACCTTCTTTTGATTGATTTGAGATCAGGGTTTCTTTTAGCCAACTCCCCTGGGCGACCTGCCAGTGGTTCACCGATTTGGTTATAGCCATGGCTATTGGCTTCTCATCCTCTTAATTTGGTGGGAAAATACCTCCGTTTGGAAAAGACAGTGAGCAGGGCTTCCTCAGCAGAGGCTGTTTGGGACGTATGGTTGTATAGAAGCGTCGCATGAAGTGGAAGGGAAGGTTGACCAGCCACACCCCGAGACACTCTCCCCGACCATAATGAGGTGTTCGGAGGCTAAAACACAAAAAGCAGTATCGATTAGTTTACAAGTACAGGTATAAACACCAAATATCACTACCCATGGCTTTTCAGAAACTGATTAATAGGAAAGTTGAAATCATTGAGGGTAATGGGCTCTGGGAAATATCACCTAACCTCAATTTCGTTGTAACTCGTGCTTTACAATACCACAGAGACCAAATCTGCAAACTAGAGACCACGAAAGCGTTTACAAATCCACGGACGAACACTCATGAACCCCATTATCTTGCATGCATCATCTCTACAATAACCACACAGTTGCTGCAGCAAAACGAAGACCCTGACTTACTGCTAATTAAACTTCAGATTACTCAACCATGCCTCATGTACTTTCCTACCTCAGCCAATCAATAAAAAGAGTAAATAGAACACGCTGATTAGACTTTGCAAAGGTAGCACTAATGTATACGGGAAGGTTAGGGTTGTATAGATAATTGGTAGATTCACTTGCATCACGACGGGCAACATAATGTATCGAAATAACAATGAAGGCATTGCAACGAGCCACGCAGACGTGCATGTCAGCCGAGACAATCATCAAGGCTACATGAAATGAACCGGATGACAGCTTCAGCGGTGGACACTCATGGTGGCAAACACAGAACCAAAGGTGACAGTCTAGATCTAAGCGAGGTCTGTGGCCCGCGACAAGCTCGCAAAGATGATTTTTGCTATATCGTGTAAATGAGAAATGACAAACGGTCTGATCAGCTGCCCGGTGGCCGAGTGGGTAGCATGCTTGTGTTCTGCCCATGAGTTCTCGGGTTCGCGATCCCCAGTTGGGTCGATGGGATTCGCACTGCGGATGAGACCTAACCAGGTCGAAACAGCTGTTCAGTGCTTTCTAGCTTTTCAGTTCACGCTTCATTTGCCATATGCACGACGAATTTCCACTTTGAAATTGAATCGAATCCTTCATTTGTGTTTGTATAACTTGTGTAAGCATATATGCTTACACTTCATTTAAAAATGTACACTGTTCAACGGTTTTCCGTCATACCTGGCCTATCTCTTAATCCCTACAAATGTTTGGAATGTCTCTTTACATTATCACGCTCTTCTCTCCCATCGGAACCGGTATCGATTGACTCTGAACCAGTATCTCGGGAAAACTATTAAATACCTGGGTGTTTTTATTGATACTAATCTTCACTGGACTTCTCACAGTCAACACATCGTCAGTAAGCTTCGACGACTTGCTTTTCATATCCGTAAACTTCGTCAGTTTCGTATTCGACAATCAATTATTTCCAACTTTGTGTATGAGTGTGTTTTCTCCACTTAACTTTATTGTTCATCTGTTTTTTTCCGATCTTCTAAAGAAAGATTTTAAACTGCTTCGACGTGGATTGACCATCATTAGCCGTGTCTTTTCAATCCCGCTGAAGGAGCTGGTAACTAACCTATGCGAACGTCATTGGAATGCATGTGAAAAGTTTGCGCATAAGATTCTCATCGACTCCACACATCCGCTACACGTTCATCTAACTTCCTGATCTGACTTACCATGCTTCAATTAGATCACAATATCATTGTGTTCCCTCTCGAATAAGCATATATGGTAACTGTACAGTACCGTCATTGGCATGTATGCTAGTTAACAAAGAACAGATTTTCACAGACTTTGTTAACAGTTTGGTAATTCAAATCTCTTTTTATTATGATTTTTTTAAATTTTCTCCCTCGCTCCAACCTGTATGTTTTCAATTGAAATGTAGGTTTTACGTCTACAGAAGTTATTACAATACAATACAATACAATACAATATAAGGTTACTTTCAAGAGTCACANCTTAAGTACTTCACATGACTAACCGTGCTCATCGGCTTGCCCTGAATCTATACGCTGTCGGAGGGAGATGGGAAACGGTTTCAAGCAAAAATACACTCAAGGCATTTTTCGGGATTCAGATTAAGACGGCATAAAGTGGAATACCTAACGAGGTGGGATAAGTTTGTGTAATATGCAGTCAGCTCTGATTGGTTATATACGGAAACAGAGAAGATGATATCTTCAGCATACGTAAAATGTCCTATCGGGGGAGCAATAGATGAGTCACTGATATAAGTCGCACACAGATAGGGTGTTAAAACAGCACCTTGTTGTACACTGAAACTATAAAGTGACGACCTTGACTGTCTTATTTCCAATTTAGCACACTGATGTCTTTGCGAAAAGTAATCACCAAGCCATTCCAGAAGAGAAGTGGGACAACCAAACGATTTCAGCTTGTTAAGTAAAAGAGAACCGGGACACCGAGTCAAAAGTGGAAGAATAGTCAAGAAATGCACAATGCACAAATTTTGCCTCCTATTTTAGAGACTTGCAACCGTAGTGAACTAGGGAGGAAATAAAATCCAGTATAGAGCGGTTATGTTTGTATGCAGACTGACAAGTGTCATCAGGAGTGGTGAGGGATAACTGAACACGGTATAGCATCGATCGCTGCATCAATTTCAAACCAGTTGAAGTGAGAGAAATTGGCCTGAAACATAGAATGTTTGGAGAACTGGAGTGAATATAAATGGAGCCTGTGTCAAACAACAAATAAATAAATGCAGTATTTGGTTGCTTAATATTTATAAAACAGATGGAAATCATTTTTCTGCCGGCAAAGTAGTTTGATGTCAGACCACGTTGATTTACAGTCGATCATCCCCAAAACTGGCTAACATAAACGAACTCCAAGCTTTTTGTTTCACTTCTGATCGAAAACGATAGTCCTTGCTTTGCTCACCTCCTACCACATTTAAATGCACGTTCCTTTTCAAGATGAAAACATCTCGGAAAAGGTGTGGACATTCTGTCATGTTGAAGAAACAAAGATATCACAGAATGGCACATGTCAAAACCACGGTTTAAAACGTCGGTTAGGATTTGATTTGATCCTTCAGACTTCATCCACACGAACAATCCTCAGTTCATCCAGTCAAAAATACAGTCGGAAGCACTAGACTCGAGTTTCGCTCTTATTAGAGCTCATCAGTAGTGCATATCCACTTTGAAGTCCGGAGGATAGTCAGTCAAATCAATCAATATCAATTATCCCATTAACACTACTCACAAATAACTGTGAGTTATATACGGCACATGATGTGTTTGGGTCGAGTGAAAGAAAAATGTCCTGGGTGTGAGTAAATCTTAGATCTGACTAGAGTCGGGTTATGATCACTGGTGCCCAAGAGGAAGAACTGTTCGGCAGAAAATGTGTGATTTGTGATTATGTGATCTAGATGAGAGGTTCCTCCTGTTTGTTCACTAATAAAGTCACTGAGGTTAAGGCAGAACTAAGGGTACAGGGGCGTGGTTAAAGTCACTAACGATTTTGTGCAAGCGATGGGGTGATAACTGGTTGGAAACAATCATCAAAGGTGTCGATGTCTGATAACCTACAATGGAGTGCGATCTATAAATTGGTAATGACGATCAAAGGAAAGCGGGAAAATTTGGGTAAAAGTCAGTAGTCCAGCAATCAATGCCATTTTGTGAATACTGGAAAAGTATTTTGGATTTGTCATATCACTTGCAGTTGATGTAGGTGATCATACCGTCTCCCAAATTCTCCCTACACCGTTGTCTATCCCGACTGAAGCAGACGAAATTGTCCATATCATCATTTAGCCGTGACTCCTGGAGAGACACAAGACACAAGAAATTCCTTTCACTAGAGCAGGTAGGATAAATCCGGAAGCTTCGCAAACAAAGAACGGACATTGGTACTCAGAACTGTGGGCACAGTCGTCTTGCTGGAAGTAGCACGACCGAGAGTGGTGTGTCAGCCGGCACATATACGTTCTCTGCGTTTGCAGTATTTGTGCGGTTGCCTAGTGACTGGCACTCCGAACAGAGCAACATGATTTTTTATCATACAGTCCTTAGTTTTTTAACATAGATTCTTTTTTGTACAGAAGTCAAACATCGGACCATACCTCTTTTGGATGGGGTCAAATGTTCAAGGTACTCAATACACTTGGATACCCAATGGAACGGGTGACAGCTGTCACAGTTAGGAAAGTGTGTGTGCGTGTGTGCAGTTCGTCTGGCATTTGTTTTTTTTTTCAGTTTGTTATCGGGTTTTTAACCACTACCCCCTAAATGAATTGTAATTAGTTTCCCGACCTACCTATAAGTTCGGATGTTGGATTTTTGTCCTCTCACGTAGATGTCGATGATCGAAAACTGTAAGTCAATGGATATCTTCCACTCCCAAATTCAAGGCCTTGCAACGGCAATATGAAGCAGATCGCACAATAACACACGACTTTTCCACCTCAACAGCATAAGTGTTTCGGTCCAGCGTAACCGCAAACTTGTGCACGGTTACCTTCCTAAATGGATGGACATCATTACTGATGCACCTACTTGCTGTTCCTGTTCGCCATGTGTAATGTGGTTCTATCAAATGTTTATTGTACCGTTTTCATTGCATTCGTCCTCTGAGAATTTTGGTATGCATAGCAATGTCGTAGATAGCAGTGGATTCAATCGAGTAGTCACAATTTTCGGCTTGCACGTCTTCGAAGTCGGTGAATTAGATCATAGAACTTCGAGCACAAACGGTGAACTCCCCGATCGGATAGATATGATTTCAAACAAGAATTCATTGGAGTTTTTTTTAAGCCAATGTTAGCCGATATCACTGAGATTCGTCTTTGATTATCAGTGCACCACTAGGTCATTCGACTCCCAGTCCTGTTTTACTAGACGCTCGCTTAATGAGCAACAATATATAGCCTGATCGAAAGAACCGCGTCTGTCTTCGGAGTGGTCAGTTTATTTCCCCCTTAGTCCGGTGTGCGTGCTTTCCTTTATCTTTCCTCACGACTTGCATTGGTGTTTGCCGCTTTTCACTGTTATCTCATTCCCGTTTCTTCAAATAATACGAAAGCATTGATACGATCAGTATTGTTCTCCGGCATGAGACACAGAATCCTTTCTGAGAAAACAATAGCAGTGTAAACGCATAGCGTCCATGATTTAGTCTCACGTGTACAACCTAAATCCGGACTTTTAGCGCCAACACTGGGTTCTGTTCTCTCTGCTCTGACATCCTCGTCTATTTCGCTTTCGCGAATTCCTAAATTCAGTGTATCCTATCTTTCCAATCCCTCCTGTCCAGGAAGATCCGCATCTGTGTACCGTGCGTGAAGCAAATTTTATGGTTGTGGACGAAGCAGACAAACTAGTTGAGGCAAATCATTTTGAGGATCTTCGGGAACTGTTCACCTGGCTTCACGCTGACACAACCGGCACAGGCGAGAACAAATCGAGCTCCGATGCACGCATGCAACACGTCAAACGACGTCAGACTGCGGTGTTCTCGGCCACACTGACGTTTGTGCACAGGGGTGCTTTAAAACCGGGCACCGGTGCCAAGCACAGAAAGCAATGGTCCTCCGGGCGAAATGGACTAACGAAAGAACTCAAGTTAAGTAAGTACGGTGATTTTAAGATTGGTTGTTTGTGATACAGTCTTTCCAGTGTGAACCACTACGCAATGGGTTCTCCTCGCTTTATCTAATTATTGTGATCTGTACTCAACCTCTTGCCGATCGATTCATCTCGGCATTTTATGCTTTGTTTCCATCGAAATGCGGTGGATGCATTGCCTGCATCAAGACAGCGTACTCGTCAGCGATTGCGGTTGAAATCACGACGCCAATTTGTTCTCATCTCTGTTTGTGGTCGCACCACTGAAGGACGCACGCCTCGACAAGTGCTCTATGACCCAAACGATAGTCGATAGTTGGCTTTCCGCGAAGAGCTTACCCCAGTTTGCGTGCAAGTTCGCGAAGAAGATCGTTCATTAGCCAACGAAACTGAAAAACCCACCAAGTAGTCACAAACGCAAGCGGCTAAATCTCTGTATGATGTCAGTTTTGCTAACTAGTTGTGGAACCAATCCTCCAAATAGCTAATACGATACCATAAAATTAAATGCCATAGACACAACGTAACTTGACATGATCACAAGCACGGCTCAGGATTGCAAACTGTGAGGCGATGGAGATAAGTGGCATCGAGTAATGATCACAATCTTTTCTGTTTGAATTAAGAGCGCCGTCTCATCGAGACCAGATGGGAAGATCGACCACGGGGATAGGATTAATTTTTTCTTCCATTCAATTTTCCCGCTTCTAAAGTACGTTTAAGATTCCGTTGTGCTTTGTTCGTGTTGTAAGTTTTACTTGACTTTATTGATTTCGTTTTATGTTGGTGATGATGAGTTACACTTATTCAGAAACAGTCGTATATGAAGGACTTAATCTATGTCCATTCTGCTAACCAATGGAGCGGTAATGTAAGATTTCTAATCTATCACATTCCCCATTCTACTTATGTCCTCTCAATGGTGTGCATCAGGTGCTCTTCGTGACTTGTTTGGTTTGAGTCCTCGTGCCAAGGTCTTCGACTTATCCTCAACATCAGAGAATGAGGTGCCGAGCTTAGACGTGACTGCAGCACCGCCGCCACCACAGGAAGTCCATACCGCTTCTGTGGCCTGTCCGGAGGGATTGCAAGAATATCGATTTTTGTGCTCGGATCAACCGTCGAAAGATATGCGTCTATTTTGGTTTCTCGCGTTCGGTCGTCACCAGCCTGTGACTGGAGCACTTTCTTCTCCGAACACGGGCAATCAACGCTGTTTGATTTTCATCAATAGCAAGTCCGGTGTGCGTCGTCTGGCCGGTGTGATGCGACAGTTGACAGAAGGAAATGCGTTCGCTGTGTCCGACTATCCCCGACCGCAGTACGTTAATGTGCTGCATGCAGATATGTTGCAGAAACAACGACTTCGAGCCCTGGAGCGTTTTCAATGTAAGCCACGTTTTGCGCATTGAAGTATGTTTGTGAACTGTTCTTGATGCTCTTTTGTTTCTCTATGGTCAATCGAGTTCTTCGTGTTCGATCGACAGTATGAATAACGATTTCAATTATCGTTGCTTTTTGGGTTCAGTGTTGTAGTTCTTGCTAGAGTGAGCACATTCTCAATTATATCCGTGCTGTAGTTAGTGTGAACATGGATCACAGTAGCACCAAGTGGACAGCGTTTGGCGAGATGTGATCTATTGGTATGGACTGGGCATTCCGGCAAGTCCTCGACTTCACCGACGGGGAGAAGAGGTCAACGCGTGAACTAAATGCCCTCTTGACGAGAGAGAGAGTGGAATAGGAGACCCGTTATTGAACTGGCTTCGGTGGGCGCAATCCGTGAGTGTGCAATATTTGTTGCAAACTGTTTTCTTTAAAATGGAAACAGATTTGCTGAAACTTTATACTCCAGTTTTTCGCTCAGTGACTGTTCTCGGAGATGGTGACAGAATTGTCCATGATGGGGCAATGGTATCATCACTAACCTCCGTGCTTTGAACCGTGTGGTCCGAGGTTCAAGCCCCACCACCGCCACCCAAATGTGAATGGTAGACAATTTGTTAGACCTATCGAGGGGTTCGCCGCTCCGGTTCCGGGGGCTCGGGTTCCCGGTTTCCATCACTGATCAGCAGGTTCTCGTGATTATGGGGTCGAACTCGTCTACTTTCCATCACACACACACTATTGTGTAATAAAAAAGGGAATGAAGCAGTCAAAAAGGTCGGTCTGTGCGAGTGTTTAGTGCATTTGTCGTGGTGTGTGTGTGTATTCTTTGTCATTCTCAACTTTCTATTACTCTTAAAGTATTTTGTGACAAAAACTCACGATTGATAACTCATTGTGGAGAGGGAGAGAGTAATTGCAAACTTTTTCGAGTCAGAACGGATTCGTTAATCCTGTTTTGTTTTTGTGTGTTGTCGTTTGGACATGCGGAAAGAGAAATTGCGCTCCACAGATTTTGCAGTTCGGGGATAGTAAACGGATAAGGTGAACCGAATTCCATTTTGCCTCTTCACTCTGAGCTTGGAAATTTGTTTGCAACTCTTTTCTCACACCAGCCCAGAGCGACATCGTCAGTGCTTGTGAAGTGGCAGTGTTCTGCTTATACTCGTTCGTTTACATATGTGTTCCTCTCCAAAGACTATTGTTTGTCTCTTCTTTTCATTGTGTTCGTCCTCATTTCGTCGTGGAACTGATCCAAGGGAAGTGAGAGGAGACAGCTAACGGAATGGAATGCAATGAGAACAATGCACTGAAAATAGTCAGTACAGAAGAACACGTATATAAACTAGCATTTTTGAACATCGTGATCATCTAAACGCCATCAGGAAAACTGGAGACAAAGGTGTACCGCAAGGCAACACATACGGATCAAATCCTAAACTTCAAGAGTAATCATCCACACACATACACACACACACACACAGAAACCAAACGCCCTGCAGCACTGACATAGTCAAGAAGAAAGAATAAAGATACCTCCTCAAATTGTTTGCTGGCAATGGCTACCCCCGCAATGTCACCAAAAGAACTCTGGGTCAAAGAAAGAAGGAAACAACAGACGGAGAATCGGGAACACGAACGACTCGACCGTACATCAAAGACGTCTAGGAAATGACAACAAAACTGCTCAAATCATATAAAACTCAAGTCGCCAGCAAACCGATCGTCTGTCTAAGGAGACTGCAAGAACTGCCCAAAACACTATATTGGGCAAACTGGGAGAAAACAGCCAACATTGATCCGTGAACACCAGTCGGCAGTCGGAGACATGACCCACTATCATTGGTTTCCCAACAAGAAGATCAAGAAGGATATCAATTTAACTTCAAATCAGTGAGAATTATCGACCAAGCCGGATCGAAACACGCCAGGGAATTTCTCGAAGCTTGGCATTCTTCAGTCAACTCAATAAACAAGTACATCGAACTGGATCACAGGAACATGATAATGCAACTCATATGACGCAACAAGAAAGGTTAAACCGTGACCTGAGAATGAAAGCAAACCGCAATCGGGACGAATGGATAACTTCCTCTCCTCCAACCCGCACGCTCTCACACCAGTTCAACGGTGAACCGAGTCGAACACAGTGAGAACAAAAGACAAACATAGTCGGTGGAGAAGGTCACATGTATAAACGAATCGGTACAAGCAGAACACTAGCGCTTCACAATCGCTGACAATGTCACCATTGGCTGGTGTGTCAAAACGTTTGGAAACCAATTGCCCGACTCGACCAACAATAAATGCTAGTGGGAGTTGGTTGTTTGGGGGAATCACCAAAGCGAGTTCTGAAAACAAGGGAACAAAATGATAATAGTAAGAAAGATAGAGAGTCGAGCCACTCTGCAGATTGGATGTTGACAAAGCATCGCTGATCAACCGGGTAGAACGTTAAGAAAGAGCAGAATTTCGAGGCTTACCTGACTGTTTGTGCACGATTCCATTCGGATTTGAGCTTAGAAAACAAGGGAGAAATTACTCACATGTAGAGAATTGTCTGGCTCGAGGTAGGAAATCGATTTCAACCGCAGAAAGTGAGACAGGACTGGAAACCAACAAGGAGGGATCCAGTAAGGAACGGGACTTGGTGAAAAGAAGTGGAATTCAATCGAAATTCAATTGGAGGAGCACAAGGGACACGTTTAAGAGAAAGTGAAAGTCGATGTATAGGAGGCGAATTATACGCTAACAGTACGATGGGGCTTGATGTTTTTGGGTTAGGAAGAACAGCAACGTTATAAAACGGTAATTCAACGGTGAATCAATGGGAGTGTAGAATTGATTTTTCAGGCTTTAGAAGCCGTGAAGAGATCATCATCATCATCATCATCATCATCACCATCATCTTCGTACAGTGAAATACAGGGAAGGTAACTTCACTGATCGCTGCCAAACTCACGATTCATATGCAGTGTGGTTTGATGGACGGGTATTGCTGGAGTATCCAACCAGTATGCACGAGAGGGATTAGGGTTGTCAACCAAAGCCTTTAGTTCCGTCAAGAACCTAACCGCAAGGCAGCGGGCGGAGCGAAAAGAAGACCCATTTACTTGGATCAGTTACTCCTCCACCATTTTTTACCGACTGTAATGCAAATCCTAGTCGAACCCCCAACCTGAAAGACCAGAAGAGCTGGCTTCGTCTGACCTCAACTCACTGACCTTCCAGTTATGATAAGATTTCCTGGTTTGATAAAAGCCATCGTGTGTGGCTCGTTGGGTGATCCTAGAGGTGCACAAGCCATCACACCACGTCGAGGTGCAGTCTCATCGTGATGACAGTGAAGAGAATCTTTTACTGGTTTGTTAGTTCGTTCCGGATACCAGTTTGTTTGCCAATCAGAAGAATGACGTTTTTTTAATCAAGGTATCTGGCTTCGCCCGTTGGCTTGAGTATTAGAACTGCCTTGTCCTGGGCAACCTGATATGTTTCGCGTATATACTCTGATTTCTCTAACGTTCCTTACACGTATCAGTCTACTTCATTTTTTTTTAAGCTGATATTATTGGCACCCATTCCGCGCGTAATCATTCCTAATGGACAGATTTATTGTTGTTATTATTATGGTTATTATTATTATTATTATCAAACCATGATGACTGAAAGTTACGATGTTTGATGGATGCATCGCATATCCAATAACATCCGCTGATCTTGGTCCTCCTCCCGCCCCCCCCTCCCGCCCCCTTCCCTCACCCCGTGGTTCATTATGTCCCAATTTCAGCCGATCCGAATGGGATCCTATTGGCCAGTGATGTTGCATCGCGTGGTTTGGACTTGGCCTCAATGGGAAGTCTGAACAGTGGTGACGGAGGCATAGCTTGGGTGGTACACTTTGACGTGCCACACACGGCCGAATTGTACATCCATCGGCGTGGCCGCACCGCTCGAGCTTATCGAACCGGGACCAGTGTTCTGTTTGTTTGCCCCAATGAAATCCCTCTGTGGAGGCGTTTGGCACTCAGTCTGAAACGAATAGGTGAGTTTTGTAAGAATGAGTCAAAGACCACGCATATCATCATCGTCATTATGTATTCCAATCATGTGTGCTACACAAATGTCTGTGGCGATTGATGATAGAAAGAACCGTCATCTGTAGGAGGCTTCGTCAGTTATTTTTTGTAATTTTTTATTTACTTTCAGTCAGCAATGGTACGATTACATTGAACTGAGATTGAGTTTTGGATCCCCTTCCACCTTCCATCTCAATAATTCTAAACAAATAATCCCATAAGAGTCGTACATTTCACAAGGTTTATGTTATCGCTGGAGTACTGTCCACCCCCAACCCCCTAAAAAAAGAAAAAAACTGCATTGATTCGATCCAGAAGACCTCGACATCGCTCCCAGAAGGCGGTGCCTGGTGCAGGATAGTTAGTGGAACGATCCACTATCGGATGCGCATTCTTGTACTTACCATAATGAACAGTAGCAATTCGCTCCAGCATGTCTTGTTCATTTTTGGCCGTTAAAAGAAACCACCAATCACATCTTTTTGCGAACTACTCAAAAGGGAGTAATATATCCCAACACCATTACCAGGGAAAGATGACGATAAATTCATCGTGGTTTGGTGATCATCAATCATGTATCAGCAATCCCGATAGATTCAATAACCACAGAACTCATTAATGGTCACATCAAATCTTGAGTTAAATTTGCCGATAGGATTCTAGACGACCATCGTGATCCACTGTATCCCGATCTTTCATCTTGTCGTTCCCATCGGTCCTCATTTCAGCATCTACTCTCACATTCCCCAATACCCTAATTGGTCTGACTCAAAAAAGGAACAGGTCACAACTGAACTACGCCAAAAGTTTTGTAAATGAAACAAACTTCGGGAACAATCTTTACGTTGCATGTTATATGGAACTGTATGTTTCATCCCTCGTGACGAACAGTGTACATTTTTAACTGAAATGTGAGCATGTAAGCTTACAAAAGGTACACAAATACAAAATACAAATACAGATCGCGAATGGGAAACTACTCTCTCTCTCTGATATCTATATTAATTTCTCCTGACACATTTTTATCCTCGGAACGTGGCTAGTAACTCACGAATTTTCGATGCAAAGCACCAACTCCGACTCATAAGCATTCCGTTTTGAAATAATATTTTCGTATCACTTCTTGCGTGCGTCCCGATCCATCTCATCGATTTCCCTATCCGATATGACCACCAGATCTGGACCTGACGGACTTTCCGTTAGAGCCTACGCAATTCCAACTGACTGCTTGCGAAAAAATTGTGGAGTTGGCCAGACGACTAGATTTAACTGCACACACGGCATCGCGTAAAAAGGCGAACGACGATTGGTTCTCACAGGCTGCGAAAAGTGCCGACATCCTGCTCGAGTCCGATGAGGACAACGAGGATGTTTATGAGTAAGTGGTTTGGTGAAATCACTTTTCCGGTTCCATTCTTTCTTAGGGGTGTCTGTGTGATTGTGATACTGACTAGTACTTTGTGAATGTACAACGTGGATAAAGATGCCGATAGCTTTTTCGAATGAGCCAGTGGTGAGACTCATCATGCTGTGATCGGAGGTGCTTTGTGCTGTTGTTGTTCCATCATCTTACAAGTTCTTTTTCCCGACCAATAGTATACGTTTCTTTCTCACTGACGTTTTTGCTCCGGCTTTCAGCGAGCTACCTAAATCAAAGAGACGAAAGCTGGAAGTGACCGAGGCAAAACGCCAAGTCGCCATTGCTCGTGCCGATCTACAGCAGGTGAGCTGTTGCATCATACTCTCACATGATCTGCGCGTGTGTGTGTGTGTCTGTGTGTTTTCCGGTTCCATTCTTTCTTAGGGGTGTCTGTGTGATTGTGATACTGACTAGTACTTTGTGAATGTACAACGTGGATAAAGATGCCGATAGCTTTTTCGAATGAGCCAGTGGTGAGACTCATCATGCTGTGATCGGAGGTGCTTTGTGCTGTTGTTGTTCCATCATCTTACAAGTTCTTTTTCCCGACCAATAGTATACGTTTCTTTCTCACTGACGTTTTTGCTCCGGCCTTTCAGCGAGCTACCTAAATCAAAGAGACGAAAGCTGGAAGTGACCGAGGCAAAACGCCAAGTCGCCATTGCTCGTGCCGATCTACAGCAGGTGAGCTGTTGCATCATA